TTCTCTATAGTAAATGGCGTATTAGTATCCTACATTTCTCTATGGTAAATGGCGCATGTCTGTCCTGCAATTCTCTATGGTAAATGGCGCATGTCTGTCCTGCAATTCTCTATGGTAAATGGCGTATGTCTGTCCTGCAGTTCTCTATGGTAAATGGCGCATGTCTGTCCTGCAATTCTCTATGGTAAATGGCGCATGTCTGTCCTGCAGTTCTCTATGGTAAATGTCGTATGTCTGTCCTGCAATTCTCTATGGTAATGGCGCACGTCTGTCCGGCAATTCTCTATGGTAAATGGCGCATGTCTGTCCTGGACTTCCCTATGGTAAATGGCGCATGTCTGTCCTGCAATTCTCTATGGTAAATGGCATATGTCTGTCCTGCAATTCTCTATGGTAAATGGCGCATGTTTTCCTGCAATTCTCTATGGTAAATAGCGCATGTCGGTCCTGCACTTCTCTATGGTAAATGGTGCATATCTGTCCTGCACTTCTCTATAGTAAATGGCGTATTAGTATCCTACATTTCTCTATGGTAAATGGCGCATGTCTGTCCTGCAATTCTCTATGGTAAATGGCGCATGTCTGTCCTGCAATTCTCTATGGTAAATGGCGCATGTCTGTCCTGCAATTCTCTATGGTAAATGGCGCATGTCTGTCCTGCAATTCTCTATGGTAAATGGCGCATGTCTGTCCTGCACTTCTCTATGGTAAATGGCGCATGTCTGTCCTGCAATTCTCTATGGTAAATGGCGTATGTCTATTCTACATTTCTCTATAGTAAATGGCGTATGTGTATCCTACATTTCTCTATGGCAAATGGCGCATGTCTGTCCTGCAATTCTCTATGGTAAATGGCGCATGTCTGTCCTGCAATTCTCTATGGTAAATGGCGTATGTCTGTCCTGCAATTCTCTATGGTAAATGGCGCATGTCTGTCCTGCAATTCTCTATGGTAAATGGCGCATGTCTGTCCTGCAATTCCCTATGGTAAATGGCGCATGTCTGTCCTGCAATTCTCTATGGTAAATGGCGCATGCCTGTCCTGCACTTCTCTATGGTAAATGGCGTGTGTCTATTCTACATTTCTCTATGGTAAATGGCGTATGTGTATCCTACATTTCTCTATGGCAAATGGCGCATGTCTGTCCTGCAGTTCTCTATGGCAAATGGCGTATATCTGTCCTGCACTTATCTATGGTAAATGGCATTTAAGTAAATACTGTGCTATGTTACGAATACAATTTATCAACAAGGCTGTCTTGCCTCACATCCTAAATAGCCAGGCAGTGTTTGATTTTTACTTTTGGTTGATTGGAAACAGATTAAGGATGAAATATTTGAGGAAACTGAAAAGAACTTCAGATTGCAAGAGAGGCTGATCAAGTCATTTATCCGGGATCTTTCTGTGTATCTTCAGCATATACGGGTAAGACATTTCCTTCAAGGCAAAGAATGAGCACTACAAGTGAATGTAGTAAGCACACACGCCTTCTTCTTGATCTATTCTTGTCTAGAGGGGTTTAATTCTTTATTTTCGTTTTCCATATTCCTAAACAATTATCCTATTTAGAACTTTCATAAAAGGATATTATTAAACTGTGACCCTCCAACTATAGCTCTAGTGTATGCGCATTCATGGAGCGAGCAGGTTTCAAACCAGTTATTAGCTATTATTAGCAAACAGACTCTCGCACACTGGCCTAAGGCAAGGGCATTCAAATGTTACGACAAGTAACGTTAATGTTATAGGAGAATGGTTTATTATTAGTCATGGAAGGTTCACTTAAATGTCAGAAACACCTAACATTACTTGGTGTCCATTTAAAAGAATAGAATTTTGTCTATGCATTGAGTTTACAGATACATAAATAAAAAGGTAACTCTAAGTTTGTTTCCTCCTTTAGTGTTACTGCTGTTGTGCCATTGTCATTGCAGTAAACAATACAAATTTTTACATTAAAGGCAGCTACATATGTAAATGCTTCCCATAACACCTGGGCACTCCACTGTGTGCGGTAGAAGAAAACTTTACGTAAATGTATTATTTTAATATATACACTTGACGGCAATTTGACCAGCCAAGTGTATTGATTAAATAAATACTTACCTTAATGGGTATTTGTCGTCTATGTGATTTTTGTCAATGACCGCAAAAATTGAATAAAAGCAAGCACCTGGTTTAGAACTATATGGAGTTTGTTTTTGCAAGTCTAGTAGGTTATGGGTTTTATAGATTCATTATAATGTGAGATGAAATCATGCTCTTTTTTTAATTAATATTTTAACAAGATTCTATTATGGTATTAAATATGCGTCTAATTTCTGGAATTAAATGGGTAACTTCTACCTGATTTTTCGTGACAGTGCCTAGATATATGTAAAACTAATCAAATTCATTATAAAATAAAAATAAAAATTCTCCTTGCATCTGAACATCACATCTTCAAAATATAGTGAATACCTATACGGCAATTAGAATTATGTTATCATGTAAAAAAAAATGAAATTTAATTGAAATTTTGGGGGAACACTCAGCAAAGAATGATTTGGATATTTTCTACAGAATATCTTAATTTTTTTTTATTTTTTTTTATGATTTTTTATAATAATTGGTTATTATAAGCTGTGTTTTATTTTGGGCATGGGGTAGGGATTCCCTTCAAATGTATACTAAATTAAGCCCTACTCAATTGCAATCACTGACTCTGGAACCATTTTGTTTCCAGGTAATCTTCTCTGATAAAGGCCTCAATTTTAATATTTTTGGATAAGCCTCCAGCAGATATTACTAGCCATTCTTTCCTTGTGTGTTTTTCAGGAAGCTGCTTGTGTTAAAGTGCTGGCTGCCATGAGTATGTGGGATTTATATGCAGACAAAGGAACCAGCGACCTGGATAAATTTCAGAAAGCCCATCGACACATCAGCGAGAAGCTTTTCACGGACTTTGTGAGTGGTCCCATTCATTCCTGTGTGCTTCGTACCTGATAACTGGTTAATGATTTGTTGCAAACAATGACCTTTAATCGATGAACATAACCATACACATCTATGTAGATTACAATTCATAACAGATAGGATGACTTGTTCTTATCTATTTTATGGTACAGTAACGATCTTCGTTCAGGTGTGGCTGCAAGCAGGAATTTTTATAAATTTCCTTTTTTTTTATGACTTTAAAACAACATGTTTAACCTCTTAAGGACCAAACTTCTGGAATAAAATGGAATCATGACATGTCACACATGTCATGTGTCCTTAAGGGGTTAAAGAATCCTACATACTAATGAGCTGAGAGTAATGTGTTTACATATAGATTAATGCCCTAACCTATATAGTGGATTAATACCTGTGCATTCACAAATCACAACGTACTGACATTGTTTTTTTTTTTTTTTTTTTATGGTAGACCATGTTCAGGTCTTGCTTAATCTACTTCCTGCTATTTATTTTATTTTTTTCAAACTGCATTTCATAAGCTGGTCAAAGTCTTAATATGTTTACAATTACATACTAGATTATGAAAAATAAGAAGCATAGCTCAAGCGCCCAAAATATTACTGTATTAAATCTACCAATGTTCTGACCAAATTTAAAGGGGAAATCAAGTACCAGAACCATTACAGCTTATTGTAGTGGATGTGATGCTGTAACATGTTTTATTTAATTAAATTTTTTGCGCTATAATCCCTCCAATGCGCAATTATTCTATTTATAAAACATTTACGTTTTAAATTTTTTTAGAATGAAAACAAACGTAAATTCGTTTTTCTCATTTACAGAAAGAGAGGACGGAGAAGTTGGTCATATCTCCTCTTAACCAGCTTCTTACAATGTTTGCTGGGCCTCACAAGTTGGTCCAGAAGCGGTTCGACAAACTCCTGGATTTCCACAATTGCACAGAACGAGCGGAGAAGCTGAAAGACAAGAGGACTCTGGAGGAGCTGCAGTCAGCAAGAAATAACTATGAAGCTCTGAATGCCCAGTTACTCGATGAGCTGCCCAAATTTCATAATTACGCCAAGGAACTGTTTGCCAGTTGCGTGCGTGGGTATGCCAACGCTCACTGTGATTTTGTGAAACTTGCTTTGGAAGAGTTGAAACCTCTCCTTATGGTGAGCTACAAAATAAATAAATGTATATAATTGTTATATTCATGGGGGGTGGGGGGGGAAATCTTTCTGCAAGCCCAATGTTGTCTGCAAAAACAAAAAATTTTGGGTAAATAAAAATAATTCAGAAGTACTTATGCAAAATAATGGAAATGCCTTTCTAATAGAGTAGAAACAGACCACAAATGCATGCGCAGTTGGTCATCGCAGCGGTGTACAGACACATTCTGCATATTGTGACTTTTCTAAGGCTGCTGAATATATCTCAGAAGTTCCAGCGGCAAGCAGAGTTTCATGGGACTTGTGTTGATCTCTCTTTATAAGCGATCATTTGTTGGCCAGTCTAGGCTATTCTGTAGTCACTGCAGACATCGCTTTAAATCATAGGTGTTTGTGTGAGGAACCTAAAATGAGATTAGTATTTCAGAATATTTTTTACATTTTTTTTTGCTTGTGTTTTTGTATGTTTTAAAGGTTTGTTAGTGCAACCCTGTTGTGTTACTTTTAATATTATTTGCCTGGGCGGTGGTTACAATTGTTATTAAAATCAGAAAAATATTTTTATAATAATCAAAAATAGTTACACATAAAATCAATCTGTTTTCCCCAGCACAATCAGGTCTGAGTAATGTATTTCTGATTTCAGCTTCTAGGAATAGGCAGCAGAGAGGGGAATATCGTTTCCATCTTCCAGGAGGAACACGGCAAGGTTCTACAACAGCTTCAGCTCTTTACCTTCTTCCCTGAAAATCCTCCCCCTGCCAAAAAACCATTTGAAAGGAAAACAATAGAACGTCAGTCTGCGAGGAAGACTGTCCCAAGCCCAGTAAGTTGCATGTTTTCTATGTGAGTGATACATCCAATAATATTCTATTTAATTTAACCAGAAAGAGGACGGATAACTTGGATAGATGGACAGCCTCAAACTAGTGCCTATTTGTCCTTATTATGTTTACTTGTAATATTTTGATCAACATATAACCAACACTTTCTGGAGACTGGACATGCATTTTCTTTTTTACCTTTTGAGCACCAGAGGAGTCAGAGATCTCTTACAAACGAAGATCCACTGTCTGATTAAGCAGAATCAACACAAATAAGAATTCCATTAAAGGACCTGCCAGGAAGATTCTTTTAGCGTTTGATGGTTTTCAAGTATATACTTGACTACAAGTGTTAAGATTTATCAACTTTAAAGGGACACTATAGTCACCCGAACAACTACAGCTTAATCTATAGCCCCTGCAGGCATTTTCATGTAAACACTGCTTTTTCAGCACTGATGTTCAGCGTCTCCATGCTCTGCATGGAGGTGCTGAATGCTCCAAAGAGAGATGCATTGAGTCAGTGCATCTCTGTGAGGAGATGCCGATTGGTGCAGAGCGACATTTTTAAGTTTATGTGAGGTATCCTCCCAATGCTTCAGTAAGGGAAAGCATTGGATTGGCTGAGAGCATCAGTTCTGATGATCTCATCCAAGTGGGTGGAGCCAGCGCTAGCAGACCCACACGGCACTGGAATAAAAGCAAGTTTAAACTATGTTTACAAAAATGCATGTGTATTCCTCACCCTATAGTGTTCCTTTATCAGATAAAAAAGGTTGAGAGAGTTAAAGGTGCTGGCCATTGAGTAGAAGAGAAATATTCCTCATAATACAATTTTTTTTCCTCCCTACTCTCTAGTCCAAGTACATACCTCAGTTGGATGAACATAGAGTAGCTCTGCTTGCAAGATACCCTCCAGAAAAACTCTACCAGGCAGATCGCAACTTTAATGCTGCTCAGGATTTGGATGTGTCAGTCTTGGAAGGTGACCTTGTTGGAGTAATTAAACAGCAAGATCCAATGGGCAGCCAGAACCGATGGCTCATAGACAATGGAGGTAAGATTTATTTACATATTTTTTTATTATTATGCATAAATGATGTTGATAACCAAAAGAACCAACAATATGTGAGCGCTGTAGAATATAACGCGTTCAGTATGGAGCAGGGTCGGACTGGGAAAAAAATTAGGCCCGGGCATTTTTCAATTAGAGCGGCCCCCCAAGAAGGGGGCGGGGCCAGAGACGGTGTGTTTTGTCATCACTAATGACAAGTACACCCGCTCTGAAAGTGAGCATGTTGGTTCAATGCGCAGAGCCCCGCTGAAGAGCTCTAGCATTAGAAAAAGGCCCTGTATTTGTTCTGCGCAGCGCAAGCAAATGTAATGACATGCTTGCGCTGTGTTTGCTTTTAAATTGTCTCTGGTGTCTCCACAAGTGGGATACCAGAGGACAAAAGGGCCAGGAAAGTGTATGGTGCATGTGTTTGGCGCATGCTTGTGGGATTGCCTGTGTGTAGAGTGTGGTGTGTAAATAGGTCAATTTTGTGGTGTAATATGTGTGGCTAGGGGCTGTAGAGATAGCGTGTATAGGGGCATAGTGTTATAGGGGATGTAGCGAGTGAGTGCATAGAGGCAGTAGTGTGTGTGTATAGGTGACGTAGTGTGTGTCACTTATACACACACACTACTGTGAGTAGAGAGGGTGTGTTTAGAGAATGTTGTATGTGTTTGCTTACAAGGAATGTAGTGTGAGTGTAGGTGGTGCAGTGTGTGTGTAAGAGATCTAGTGTGTAAAGGACCCAGAGTGTGTATAGAAGATTGTGTGTGTGTGTGTGTGTGTGTGTGTAGAGGATTAAGAGTGCATATAGGGTAAGGGATCTAGCGTGTATCTGGAGCGTATTGTGTGTAGTGGTGCAGTGTGAGCGGTGCTGTAGTGTGTGTGTGTGTGTGTGTATATATATAATAATAATAATAATAATAATAATATATATATATATTTGGACGTATTGTATGTGTGAGGTGCGCAGCGTGTTTGTGTAAGAGGAGTGCTGTGTGTGAGGGTGTTTTTATCTGCCGTCACATTCTGGGTTTCTAATTTTATTTGTCTGTTAACTCACTGAGGGTTATTTTATATAATATATATGTGCTGTATATGTGTGGGAGTGAGGGTGCTGTCTGTCTGAGGGTGCTGTGTGCGTCTGGGGGTGGCTGTGTGCGTCTGGGGGTGGCTGCGTGCGTCTGGGGGTGCTGTGTGTGTCTGGGGGGGCTGTTAGGGAAATTATTTTAAATATATATTTGTTTTATTAATAATAAAAAAAAAAAAAGTTATGCCTTTTTATGCCTTCTTTGATCTCCCCACCGGCCCATGAAGGCACACAGCAGGGCCGGCGCTCGGGTAGCGCTGGCCCTGTACGGGCTGGCAGGGGAGATCCTGTGATCTCCCCTGCCGGCCTCTGCCCACGGCCATCGCGGCCCACCGGGCATTTGCCCGGTATGCCCAATGGCCAGTCTGGGTCTGGTATGGAGGCACTCAACCACAGTGATACAAAAGTATACACCGAATACAGACAAATGTTTACAAAAAAGAGTGCGCTAAACTGACAGAACAGATCTGTAAATACAAAAACACATAGAATAGTGCAGACTATCTGGACCAGAAAATATTTAATATGGGGGTTTCGGGGAAAAAAAACTCACATTTAGCAGAGCCATATCACCCCTGGCTCTGGGTTTGCATTGCTCCACTTGAAAGGGAAGACTCCCACACTGAATAGACTCCAAGTAGAGTGCTCACTGGAAGCTGGTAGTACTGTAGGACCTGCCTCTCTATGTCCTATATTGCACAGTACTACCAGCTTCAAGTGAGCACACCACTTGGAGTCTATTCAGTGAGGAGCCCCACTCAAGAGGAGCATTGCAAACCCAGAGCCAGGGGTGATAGGGCTCTGGTAAATGTGAGTTTTTTTTCCCCCCACACTCTCATATTACATATTTTCTGGTCCAGATAGTCTGCAGTATTCAATGTGTTTTTGTATTTACAGATGTTGATAACCAAACTAAAAAAATGTAAATAAAATAGACCAGTTGGATATGTTTTGCAATACTGCCATTTACAGCATCACCCATAATGTAAAATCTCCTGGATAGGGGTTTATTGTGTATGCAAAGGGCTCCCTTTTCAAAACGACTGGACCAGTAGTAGATCCCGACTAAAGTGTCCCCACAGTACACAGCAAACGTATAAACTGATTGTGATCATTCCGTCCATAACCAGTTATTTTTTTCTTTTCTTTTCTCCAGTCACGAAAGGTTTCGTTTACAGCTCTTTTTTGAAGCCATATAATCCCCGGCGCAGTCACTCAGATGCATCCATCGGCAGCCAATCTTCCACTGAATCTGGCTACGGTGGCTCCTCTCCAAACTTCTCCAGACAGAATAGCAATAGCACTTTAACATTCAACCAGAACAACTCCTCAGTGAGCTTCAGTGCAAAATCCAATACAGATTCCTCTCCCCCAGGTAGTATCCTACCTTTGTCCAAACCCGCTCAAGCTGACTTCAATTTGTCTACAAGGAGCTGTGAAACAGACTGTGCCCTTCCGCTACCAACAAGTGACCGGGGACCAAGCAGTTCTAGAGAAAACATGGTTGCCACGGAGACTGTTCAACAGATGAAGCACACAGAGGCCAGTCGCCGAGGCAGCCAGCCTGAAAATGGGAATAATGCTACATTACAAAACAATGGAGAAAAAGGTCGTGTATCAGATGGTTCTAACATTTATCGAAAGAAAGCCAACTACCCCCTGTCTGTTGATTTGGAGGAAGATAGCGGTGAAGGAAACCAGGTAAGACACAGAATAATTGATTCTTGATTGGCAGTCCAACATGAATATAATTCAAAACAGAATTTCCACAAGCATTCTATAAAACTAGTTCTAGAATACCCTAAGAGCAACCATTGCTACCTTGGCACTTCGGAAGGCTGGCTCTGTCTCATAGGGAAATGTAGTTCACATGGAACTTACATCCCAAGGCTAAACATCACTGCCATACACTAGTTAATTAAGTTAATTAAATCATCAATACTGCGTGTGAACTTTCGTGTAACACAGAATCAATATGGTGGTTTTGAGGCTGTAGAATGGATATGTATTTTCGCATTCAAGTTTATTTTCTTTGAATTGGGATAGACACACAAGCAGAAGAGTGTTCACTTCACTCTTATCTAGACCATGGTGGTTCTCCGTTCCAGTACCACTACTTCTCACTGCAGTGGTTATGGTGCCAAGATAGAATGATTTAGTTGATGTGGCTAAATCTAGCACTCGCAGAATATCATTGTTGCCCAAAGTTGGACACATGAATGTTGAGGTCCACTTTCATATTGGTTGGGTAGATACAGACTGATAGGACTGCAGCCACAGAATATTAGCAACATAACTATTGCAATGAGCTGTAGTATTTTGGGTGTTTAGAAAGTCCATTTTATATATTTTCTTAACTTTGCCATAATCCTTGTTTTCTCCCAAATCCTCACCTATGTCAAATTGAGTATCTTCTTGTTGAATCCTAATCACTCTTATTTCCTGCCTCTCTCCTTTATCCATCCTCCTTCCCATTTGTAAACATTTTTCTGATAAAAAATTGTAAGACAAGGTACAAGGTCCATTTGTACACCATCCTTGTCTTTGGTCTTATTTATTAAATACATTTTACCGGGAGTCTGGCAGACTTTTAAGTCTATTTTTTTTCCATTGCAGGTGTATTATGCCGTATATACATTTGAAGCCCGCTCTCCCAATGAACTTTCAGTTTCAGCTAATCAGAAACTTAAAATTCTGGAATTCAGAGACATGAATGGGAACTCTGAATGGTGGTTGGCTGAAGCAGGAGGAAAAAGAGGCTACGTGCCATCAAGCTACATCCGTAAAACAGAGTACACGTGAAATTAAATACAGGCCCTGGACATTTTTATTCCATTGTTTGGAATGGAAACACTTTTGTGCCTTTTCTGGGATGAATTTTCTTGACATTTCTGCTGAAATAACGAACAATATTTATGATGGATGAGTCTTTAAGCAAGCAGACTTAGATCAGGCAGCTTGTATGCCCATGCTGAATCTGAGAGTATTTTGAGGTTTCGTGCAGTTTTGGGTTGGGCACATTGTTAAGGCACATTATAGCACTATGGATGTTCTCTTAGTTTGGTCCAACTCTTTCATTGGGTGGGTTGTTGACCACATTGAATTTTGTACTGGTGGACCTGTATCCTAATAAAATAATAATGACAAGGGGACTGATTTGTTCTGCTTTATTATGAAATAGAGAAGCAAAACATGGAATGTTGATAAATTTGGTCAGTAAGATGAGGCATTCCTCTGAAGCTTTTCCACCCTTTTATTTTTAAAAAGAGTATCAATGTTTAAAATTAGTGTTTCACTTTCTGGACAAAGCGTTCTCTGCTCACCCTTGGGAGATCTAAATAGCAGTCTTACACATCTAAACTTTGGAATGGCAAGTGATGTGCTGTAGAATAATATTTTTATTCTGCCTGTTAAAATTAACTTAATATTTTTAGTTGCCATAACATTAAACTGATTGGGTTTTTCGCAAAACATTTGCTCAGCAACATTAAATTTTTATTTTTTGGGGGGGGTTTAAATTTTGTGGTTTCCTTTATTGTCATTATGCCAATAACCATTACTGAAGCTTAAATCAACAATGCTATTAATTCAAGTAATATGTTTATCCAGGACATTTTCTTCTACTTGTCATTCTTATTACTTCTATGTGTGCTGCTGATCAGAAAACCCAACAGTATTTCTTTCATAGACCATTTTTAATTTAATAGTATGTTTATGCAGCAAACAATAGTGTTGCGAAATCTGGGCCGAAATGTGGTGCATAGTTTAAGTTTTTTAAGGCCTACATTTTGCAACAGTATTGATAACTCACTGTTTGGTTAATAAAGTCCAAATATTTTGAGCAGCACAGAAATTTTGTACCAGCCCTTCCCAATACATTAATTTGTGATCTTAATGGTTGGCTATACCTAGGTTTGCTAGATTTTACAACGTTTTCTGAACATGTTTAACTTTTTCATGGTGATGGGCAACACATGAAACATATTACCCTTCAGTCTTCTAACAACACTATTCATACATATCATTTAAATAGATCTAGCTAGTTGTCTATTAATGAGTCAAGGTGGGATTTTCAAAGAACTGATGGATCAATTCCCATCTTCCACGTGTGAATACTGCACTCTTAGGGATAGTAATTTCATTTGCTGCCTATGATCATGAATATGATTTACTACAGACCTGACTTTCATTTAAAAAATATATATATATTTTTAATTAGCTGCCATAATTATTGAAAAAGCCCTTTCTGTACCTAAAAATCTTCCATCACAAAAAGTGAAACCCTTGTGTCTAATTAGAAAGAAGTGACTGATTACACTACACATGGACGAACGTTGAATACTAAGCAGAAAATCCGACTGCTTTGTTCTTACGTTCAGTTGTTTTTGTATATTGACTGGCTCCTTCTCACATCCCTAGCGTCTTGCAAGGGGTCAGGCAACAAACTTTTTGTAAAGCATATCAATTCCTATGAAATGATTATACTATGTATATACTATGTGTATTAAACAAATGGCAACTTGTACCAAGTATAGATCAAAACGAGTCGAACTACTGATGTGATGGGGTTAGAGATGTAACATTTCTTGTTTTTATAAAGTCAGTAGCTGAATATTTTATTTCTTAGACATAAATGTTATTAAAACTTAACCGTTGCACTTTGTTTTCTAATAGGCACATTCTTAGAATATACAGGTTACCTTTTTTGACTTTAAATCTCTTAGAACAAAAACCCTATTGTGTCTTCTTATATTTTTATATCTTTCTTTCTGCAGAGGAATGAAATTTAACTTTTTGGCAGGAGGTTCATTGAGAATAGGCAGGTCCACCATATTGTGAAATGCTACAAAACACCAATAAACCTCACATCTTCTTAATAAGCATGTCTAAGAGTGTGTTTTTATATGTGTGCGTCTGTTGTATAAGAGTAAATTACTGCTATGGTTACAGGAAGAACCATACTAGATCAGTCAAACTTTGTATATTAAGGAGCAGAAAGGAAGGATGGTGACCTTTTTAAGGGCAAACTGTGGCTATTAGCCAACTCATATGCTTGATTGCCACGGTCTTGTTTCCTCACTTTCTGCTTTTATTTGTGGTACAGGAGAAAATTATAAAGTGTACATACAGTTATATTACTAGGATCCCTCTAATGACACGAGTGAGATAAAAAGTTGTTTGACACCTGATATTTGAAATTCATTTGGAATTCCCATCAATTAATACTTTAGTAAATAACTAAATAACTCTGTTTAGAAAATATTTCATTGCTGGGTTAAATTGAATGACCACTGCCTTCATACATGCAACACTGTGGGGACAGGGCTACAGTTAAACCCAGCCCATGCAGTGTGTATTACGGCAGACTTCATTCACTTTTTCCTATTTGCAAACCAGAGTAGAAAAAGAGAATTGACAACATCTTGGTTCTCAAAGCTGTTTATTGGATGTAATAGTCAAATACAGTAGACCGGACTCGCAGTCCCAGTGTCATTAGAATAATCAACAGTTTGAACAATAGTAGGTAATTATACAAATATTAAGAGTAAATGTGTACAACAAGCGAAATTAGTCAGGTGGACGACAAGGTTGCGACTCATAGATTGTTAAACTATAAGCGGTATGCTGAATTCGGCACATTTGAGGTGTTCATCATGACTTTTTGGGCATCAGACTTTGCCTCATGGGAGATGTGCAGATTATTTGAGGTCATGGGTACCCGTGCTTTCAAGTGTGCTTAGGTGTGTGGCCTTGTTGGCCAAATGCGCCTATTATGTCTGGTAGAGTTTTCAGAGGGTGTCTCCGCCCTGGCATATTGGGTGATGTGTGCTAATCTGGTCACTTTGTGTGCTAATCTGGTCACCTCTGGGGTCTGTTTGTCATGGGAGTATCGTTGTATGTCTCTGGGGTGAATGTCCCCATATCGCTCCCCAGGTAATTAGATGCCTTGGCTGTGTCAGCTGTGTAGCTACGCTTGGTATTTCTTTGCACCCGTGGGTCTCATCCCTTATGTGATGGTGAAGACTATCGGACCTAGGCTGGATATCATTAGCTGTTTATGTGTATTCCCTGTTTGTATTTCGTGATGTTGTGGTTGAGGCGTTCGTCACTAGCCAGATGTATGGGCGTGGATATATGGTGTGTCCGTTGGTAACCTCGGGTTGAATTATACTGCTTCTGCTATTCAGTCAGCTTAAGTATCATTGTTGGAGAACTTAGATTTAAGACGAGTGAGAGAGAAGAGAAGAAGATGGGGGGGAAGGGGAGAGCGGGATGAAGGAGGGGTGTATAGAGGGGTAGGGGAGCCCATTGCCTGTGCCTGTGGTTCCCGTGTGTGTCATATCGGGTTTCATTCTCCATCTAGGAGGGGGCGCGGGGTTTCTTCAGGCATGCAGGCATTTGCTCCCGTCCGTGTTCCGGTCCGCTATATAGATCAGCCACGGGCGCCATCTCTCCACATGTTTTTCCTCAAGACCCATAAGGGTGGCCTGTGTTGATTCTGCTCTGTATATCTCTTCCACCCGCTCCATCCATTGTGCTATTGTTGGGGTAGCCGTCTGTTTCTGGTGCAGCGGAATTAGTGCTTTGGCAGAATTCAATAGGTGTCTAAGAATGTTTTTCCGGTACGTCCCAATGGTGTCTGGTGTGGAGTGTAGGAGAGCTGCCTCTGCATCACAATTTCCGTCCGTCCCCAAGATTTCCTCAGTTTTCTGTTTTACTTCTTCCCAAAACGACGTAATGAGTGGGCATTCCCACCATATATGCAGTGGTGTACCCCGCTCTTCCCCACATCTCCAACATGTGTCAGGTACATTTGGAAATATTCTGTGCAGGCTATCAGGTGTTCTGTACCAAAATGAGAGAAGTTTGTAATTTGTTTCTTGGTATTGGGAACTCGATGAGCATTTATGGTGAAGAATAAGGACCTTATCCCATTGGGCTGCAGTGAAGGATGTATCCAGCATGCGTTCCCAGCATCGGCGGAATTGGTCGTTGTTGGTGAGATGTCCCACTAGCAGGTTTTGATACAGAAGGAGGTAGAAAATGGATCAGCGCTGTGTGATGTGGTCAAGTGGGAAGCTGCAGCCTATAGGTATGAGGTTCCCTCTAAAGTCCTCAAAAGAGAAATGACAAAAACAAGAATAATAGGTTGCGCTACAAGAATATCAAATAAAAAGGGATAAATATGGAAAACACTTATAACGTAAAAGAAAGATAATATGTATAAAAAGAAGGGGATTTAATAAATATATATAACTAATATGTATAAAAGAAGATAGTCCAAATTCTTGATATACTTTAAAAAGTTCAAATAAATGGATGATAGTGACAGTACTTGGTATATTTCTCTTTCAGGTTCTGGTAAGTATTTGGAAGTAGAAAGTCCAATAAGAGACTGAATCTTCTAATCTTTAGAGGAGTCTTGATTCAGAGATGAACATGGAAAATATAAACAACAAAGACGATCCAATAGTGTAGACTGTCTGTGATAATTAATAATGATAATAGGTAGGTAGGTAGTACACTCACCTATCTTAGGGCATGAACTTGCTCTAGTATTTTGGGCGTTCAGTGGCGTTTATCCCCCACTGGTAGGATATAGGTGAAGGTAATTCCTCGGTAAAAAAGGAGATAAAAGCAGAATATAGTGCTCACTGAATCAAAATAAAGTAAAATGAAATAAAAGAATAAAAATACTCACATTCGAATGAGCAGGATAAACTGCTCAGTATATTCGCATAGGTGGTACAATCCCCACCAAGGATTCTTGGTCGTGGGTAGATTCCAAGTTGGTGAATGACCAGGTGACAGGAAATATTTTTAAAACAAAAAAAATTATTTTAAAAATCAGAAAAGAAGGTATATGGCAAAGTTGTTGTAAAAAAGCCACTATTCCTTTATTGATACAATAAAAAATATAAAATATATGTAAAATAGCCAAAACGCGTTTCGCCACACAGGGCTTTATCAATTTATGATACAGAAGGGATATTGTCTTATCTAGGGTAGTCTTATGGTCGCAGAGCGTTTCGAACCACGATAAGTCCCGATGAAGTGCTTCTTTGCTCGGGAGTGTCTGATAGTAGGACCTGAGTTGCATATAGCGAAAGGATTGTAGGTTGGTTGCCCTCTAGCAGTTCTCTCAGGGTGGACATGCCCGTGTTGTTTAGTATCCTGTGGACACGGGCATGTCTTGAATCCCCCTCTCCAAAGAAAGTCCCAGATGTCAGTGGCAGTCCCCCTCCTATGTTGTATCTGAATCATCGGGCTTGGTGTTTGAGATACGTGCAGAGCTATTCTGATAGTATCCCATGTTTTCAGTGTCTGCACTATGGTAGAGGTTGGTTCAAGGAACACCCGTGACAGTCTCTTTGAGTTCCACACCGACGCCAGAAAGGAAGGGCCGTTTATCTAGGTCAGTGATGGCGAACCTTTTTGAGCCCGAGTGCCCAAACCGCAATACATGCCAACATTTTTTCTCCTTAAAGTGCCAACATGGCAATTAAACCCAAATACTGAGGTTTAAGTTTAGATAAAAACAACTCGTACTGTTGTCCGAACTAATAACTTTTGTTTTAAAAGAACACAGAGTTCAATGATACAAATTTTAAATAATGATATAAATAGATAAAATTAAGCTTATATTTATTAGTATCTCCAACAAATGCAATACATACACAGACAGACTGCTGAATACATACACACAGTCTGCTGAATACACACACACAAGACTGCTGAATACAGAGACTGATGAATACATATACAGACAGACTGCTGAGTACACACACACACACAGACTGCTGAGTACACACACACACACACACACACACACACAGACTGCTGAGTACACACACACACAGACTGCTGAGTACACACACACACACACAGACTGCTGAGTACACACACACAGACTGCTGAGTACACACACACAGACTGCTGAGTACACACACACACACAGACTACTGAGTACACGCAAACACAGACAGCTGAGTACACGCAAACACAGACAGCTGAGTACACGCAAACACAGACAG